TCCCAGGAGGGCCAGCCCCGCCGGCGGCGCCGCGTCGTCCCGAGCCGCCGCATCAGAGCTCAGGTGGTGATCCCAGGAGGGCCAGCCCCGCCGGCGGGCCGCGTCAGGTCCCGAGCCGCCGCATCAGGTCCACCAGCACGTCCAGCATGCTCGGGGGCACGCCGTCGCCGGGGCGGTACACCTCCATCTCCAGGACGTCACCCTGCCGCCTGAGAAATAGCGGACGCCTGGTCAGGCGCCCCGCTGAGTTCATCTGCACAATGCGCAGCGCGACTAGAGTGACAGATTGATACACTGCTGGTAGGCGACCTTGAAAGGCTGATGTCAATGTGGGGCAATGATTTAAAGCAAAGATGAAGGAGCTGTACCGACCCAAAGCCATAACAGAGAGACACTTAAAGATCCACTGCGCACTAACAACGGCAGAGCAGCGTACTGTGACGCATTCATGCTTGACCATACACGCAAGATGGGCCCGTAAGAGTGGCTTCTTTTTTATCACGATGCTTGCGTCCTCTGAATCATCCTTCTCTGCGCGCCCTAAGGAGCAAAAGTGTATTGGGATAGCAGTCAGAAGTGGTTCATCAGCAAACTGAATTGATCAAACTCGCGCGCACCCAGCTGGAGCCTGCGGTCATTCAGGCCTTAACAGGGACCGAGATCTGATCGGCTCGTTTGAGGGGATTCACGCAGTAACTTTTACGGCAGCCGCTCCAGCGTAAATTGACGACGCAGCGCGAACCATCTCGCCGTCCCACTAATCAGAGAAGCACTTAGCAGACAAGCAAGACAGACGGCCCAGACAAGCACTGCTCTCTCAGCCTCTCACTGTCTCGTCACACCCACCGCGGCCCGCGGATGGGTACTGCTCTCTCGCCTCTCACTGTCTCGTCACATCCACCGCCGCCGCAGACGGGCACTGCTCTCTCAGCTTGTCACTGTCTCGTCACACCCACCGCGGCCCGCAGACGGGTACTGCTCTCTCAGCCTCTCACTCTCAGCCTCCCACTGTCTCGTCACACTCACCACAAACAAGCACGTCGGAGCCGAGCCAGCGCGTGTGGGGGGGGGGGGGGGGGCGCTCGACTGGCTCGTAACGTGTCACTTGCTATGAGAGCGAGGAGCGAAGCGACTCATGAAGTTATCGCAAAGAAAAGTCGTGAAGGAGATTTGCGTTTAGGTGAGCAACAGGACTCGATTCGTCCCCACCGAATCTTTTGGTAGGCCTACAGCTTCGCAGCCCAAAGGCATCGAAGCATGTCGTTTGGCAAGAGGATTGCATCATCTTTTAACGTTGATATCCTCACAATCACATTGAATCATTACGACCAACAACGCACACGGCCTCGTTCCGTGCAAAATTAAACAGCAAAAAGAAAAGACGAAAATCACGGATGGGAGTGCTATTGAATTATTAAGTTTGCTAGCTGTTTGGATGTGAGGATCAGAGCGAAAATCCTTAACGCCAAGATAACTAAATTCCAGATTCCTCGCGGCAGATATAACCTCGGCAGCTACGCTTCCCAATGCCTCACCTAGTAGCTATTTAAAGCTCGAACAGTATAATTCTCAAGCTTGGATCGCTGACGCGTAAAAGAATGGTGCAAATAGAAACGTCATACCATTCAGTTGATCGTCATAGGCGGAGTGAGATAGATCTAAAGCGTGCGTGTTAGAATTAGTTCTTTCAAAGCGCAGGCATATATCTCGTGATACAGCAAAGCGTCAGACGCTGGAGTGAAATGGCCATTTACACACGGTAGCGACGGACCAACCTTCGACACATCAAAACACCTCCACGCGCCAGCGCGGGCGCATTCTGTTTGACCTCGTGTTCTGTACGCGCGCGCGTCATGGGCAACTTTACAATTTTGTAAACCACGTGGTGGACAGGTTTGGCTGAACCTATGATCGCAAATTTGTATCGTTTAGCCTGCCGGTTTACCTGGCATGTCAAATCAAGAGCAATATACCTGGGAGTCTAGCTGGCAGTGTCAAGTAGATTATTTCATTATGTTTAAAAGCTTTTTGTCACGGATCTTATTGTTGTATGAAGTGGACCCACTTTTGTACGCCGATGATGCCAAGTGTATGGTGGGTTCTGTATTCAGCTATGTGGCTTGCTCTCTGCGCCTCTCGGAACCCCTTATGCATGTTTTATTGCATTACATTATATTGCGACCAGCCCATCGAAAACTGACAGCGGTTCATGGGTACAGCATTTGGCATTTGTATTGACACGAGTATACTGACGGAAAACTTAGTGTTCGGAGTGATTTTGAATGTTCACAACCCCTTTCGTATACAGCAAACAGCCATTTACGCTCTCCCAGCACACACCGATTTTGAACAGCAGCAAGTTGCTAGCAGATTGACACTTAATTTCTATGCGAAATATCCCACGGAGAGTCTCCTGACCAATCGTGTCTAAGTGATCAGCTTGAAAGGGACTGCGTATTTTGGTAAGAATGGATAGGATAAATCATAATTTAAATACGCTTTGCGAGATGCAACTTGCAATCATGCACTGATTTTGGGGACGACACCATTGCAGGGTGCAGTTAGGCTGAACGAGCGCTGCCCAATTTAAACATGAAAAACAAAGCAACGGAGATATTTAACTCACATCTCTGATATACACATTAAACACGATGCTATATATATTTGCGATAAGATGATAATATGATGCTTGGGAATGCGACAATTTTCGCGGACGTTAGGGAATATACTGAGATCGAAATATATAAGTACGTCGACCTCTCCTGAGGCAGGCCTCTTTGACAGACCATGCATGTTAATGAATGGTCACACACCTTGACGTCGGGCTACGGCACCAATTGAGCAGGAGCCAGCTAACAGTGCAAAGGTACGGCAGCCGCTCTGGTTACGTGACTACAACATTTGGATGAGCTCGTGGGAGTCACAGCCGGCGTTCGCGATCGACACGTGATGCCATACAAGATACCGTCCATGCGAACACCATACGCGTGCTGCTGCGTTACATGGCGGTAGTGCCCATATAGAACAGCTCGCTGCCGCGTTAGATGACGGCAGCGCCCGTGTTCACCAGGTCAGAGATGGTGTCGCGGAGCCTGGGCCATTGCAGAGCTTTGTTCACTCTGAAGGGAAACCAGAGACACTCTGGTACAACGGCCCAGGTCGACAGCAGCGCGGGCGACATTGAACGGAGCTCGTGTCCAGCGGCAGGCCAGGACTCTCGGGCAGGCCATCCCACAACCGTCAGCCGGGACCGGAGCACCGGACGGAGCTCGTGTCCAGCGGCAGGCCAGGACTCTCGGGCAGGCCATCCCACACCGTCAGCCGGGACCGGAGCGCCGGACGGAGCTCGTGTCCAGCGGCAGGCCAGGACTCTCGGGCAGGCCATCCCACACCGTCAGCCGGGACCGGAGCGCCGGACGGAGCTCGTGTCCAGCGGCAGGCCAGGACTCCCGGGCAGGCTATCCCACACCGTCAGCCGGGACCGGAGCGCCGACCGGGCAGTCGCAGGTGCTAGCGGGCCGCCGACCCCCGGTGGCGACTCGTTCCTCCTGACAGAGCAGCCGGGTCGGCTAGCCGCGGCGCCGGTCACATAAGTGCAGCTGCCAGCCGTCACCAAATATTAGTTCGGCTCGACGGGAGTCGCACCGGAGCGAAGCTCTCAGCCGTCGTCAAATATCCATGCCGAGTCCGCTTACGTCCGAGCGGGAGATGTCGAAGTCACTTGAAGGCAGAACGGACCAGAGGGGGAGCCAGCTGGCCATGATTTAGGTCTCGGAAAACCAATGCCAGGTCAATGATGAGTTGACTCGCCGTTGAGTGGCGTGTAGAATGCTGCTGCGCGTGACGACAGGCGTAGGTATTAAGTTGAGCAAAATCTGTTGGGTGGGGCTCTGGGTCAGTCGACCTCACGTATTACCAAGTACCCTTTTCTGCCCTGATGTAGGCCACCTTATTGGACACCCATTGGGATAAAAAACTTGCATGTAATTATTTGTTTGTTTGCTTTTTGCTTTTATTGCTACCATTTTCAGTCAGCCTCAGGTCTACGGTCGATGGCTTTCTGTGGTGTGTCGGGGCGGGGGGACGGGGGGGGGGGCTTAGGCGCAAAATAGCTAGGCCATGACCCTTCAAATGAATACACTCATGCATCGTGCACGCCTGATCATGCAGCGCAATATCAACCGAACAACTGGTAAAGGGCCAGGCGTGAGATATAACCAGAGCCATCGGCACCGACATGACACGGCCACATGGCATGACATGAGATAGTTAGATCTCTCAAGCAGATCAAAGTTCAAATTGAGCTTTATGCCAGACATGCACGAAAATACGCGAGAAACTCAAGGATGGACGATCGCTGAGCGCCTTAAAATTTCCGTCCTAAGCTAGCAAGATCTTCCCCGATGGAATCCATGTTACGTGACTCAACTCAATTTTGCCAGTTAATAGTCGGCTCGCGTTAACTAAATTGAAGTTCTGCTCTTCGAAATGGAGCCGCAGTCAAAATCAATCACTGATTCGTGAGCAAAGCTCCATTTGGATTCACTCTTTCGTACAATATCGATGCCGCGCATCATCGAAATTGAGTGACCCGTTACAAAAGAGTGAACCGAACAACTCAGGGTGGTTACGCATGGTTTATCCCAGGCCAGTTTGTCCCCCCTTGTCAACCTGGCAACAAAGGCTCCGAGCATAGCGGAATTGCTTGCCGTGCTGCTCACAGTCTGCCATGGTCTGAAAATCGTACTATGGCATTTATCTTGCCATCGGTTTAAAGGCTACACGTGTAGGCCTCCTCTGAAGCCTTTAAGTCCTTTAGATTCCAAAGTTTCACAAATGCAGAAACGCCAGGCCCAACATTTTAAAGCTCAAGAAAATTGCTCATAGCAAGCCCACATGAACCGCTTTCATATCACACAGCCCTGTGATCGAAGGCAGACGGGGCACGAAATAATTCATCAGCCAGCCATGCTTCCGGTCATTTGTCACTGTCACTTCAAACACAAGGAAACTATTACATTTGTCCAGCCTATTCACAGACCCGCGTCACCCTGTGTCGATCCAGCGATACGGGGAGTGTCGCATTAGTCGAGGGTACGATGCTGGATATTATGCTGATCACACGCTATGCTTGCTTATGTAAAATGCTTAAATTTCAGCTGCTTTTGAAGTTGCTTTGAGACCGCAGAACAGCTCTGAACCTCATCGG